GGGGTCTGGTAGGTGGGGGTAATGGCCCTGCCTGGCGCCCAAAAAGGGGGCACGACCCCGAATGACCTGCCGACCACTGGGCTAGACAAACCGACCCTCCCGTTTCCATCTAATCCCCCCAGTGGCGCTGAAATTTGCATGGTTATCTCCTGAGGTAAGTTTATACCCTGTTTGGTACTTACATGCGTATAATGAGGTGTTAACCCCTTTAAGTCCCTGAATTCTAAGCAAATTGGCACTGGGTGTCCTTCTGACCCCATTTACGTTATTACTCTCTTCCGTTGAAGCTACGTTTCTCATGCGCTCCCGGCCACTGCCTGCTCTTCAATCACGTGCACTGCCACAGTGCATACATTTCCATCGACTACCTCTCTCTCGCTCGCGCGCACTGCCACAGTGCGGATAATTTCGCCCAAGCTCAAAGGAAACAACGGTTGTACGCACCTCTGCCGGTCTGTCGACTCGGTGTTGTGGGTGGTCCGGTTGTGCCTCAGTTGAGGGATAAGTTCCTAAATGATAATACTCTCGGCGGAGCCACTCCGCATAACAACTCTACATTTCCATCGACCACCTCTCTCTCGCGCGCGCGCACTGCCACAGTGCGGATAATTTCGCCCAAGCTCAAAGGAAACAACGGTTGTACACACCTCTGCCGGTCTGTCGACTCGGTGTTGTGGGTGGTCCGGTTGTGCTTCAGTTGAGGGATAAATTCCTAAATGATAATACTCTCGGCGGAGCCCTCCGCGAAACTATAACTCTGTGTTCTTCTGAACACCTCGGCGGAGCCAATCCGCGTCCTATAACTCGGCAACCTTGCCCTCGTTTATCGCTCTTACACTCTTACATATTAGCCCTAGCCCTTCAAAGTCCGGTCGACACGGACGGCTAGCCGCTCGGTGCCTTTGCTATACTTCATGGGAATACGCAGTAGAATTCATCGGGTCACGGAATACTCATTTTCCATCTCGCAGTGATCGACGGCGTCGGCAGAGTCAAAACAGACACAGGGGCCTGGCTCGAACCAGCCTCTTTCCGGCTAGTTGGATTCTATAACAGATGCAGTAAGGATGGGAGAGTTTTTATCGTTAGTTACGTTGAGATCTTTATTATTAGGTCGTTCAATAAGTAATGATCAGTTGGGCATAGCTTCTGTGTTATTACATACTGACGATAACACATTCAAATTTTCACATTAAATACTGGCAGAATATGTTCATTAATCTTCGTCACCTGTAACTATGTTAGGCTCAAAACTTAGGCTCATTCGTTTCTTCATTAGAATACGACTTTCTGAGCCCTTGCAATATGCTGCAAAACTTTCAGCGGTGGTATTCACCTACCATAAGAAGAGCGTTACACCCTCAGGTCCAGCGTCGGCTGAACGACTCTCCACTGCTTCTCACCTGGGGACGCCTCTGTCGGTCAGCATGGCCGGCCTTCCGACGGTGGCGCCGGCTGGCGGCTGCGCACGGAAAGCCCGGGGCAAAACAGCCAATCGTTGGTGCCGACGTAACCCTTTCTTTCCCCCTCCCTGCTACCCTCTATCCCCACCGACAGAGAAGTTTATGCCCCAGCTTCAGGCTTGGTATGTCCAGCTTAAACTCTCATTTGTTTCAAATAAATTCATCTTTGGTAGATTCACCATATTGCAAATGCAATTCCCTCACAGAATCAGTACACCATTATTTCTTGTCTTGTCCGCAGTACGCACAAAAAAGGGAAGAGCTTGAAGCATCGTTAAGACATTTAATAAATAATTACCATACGCTTAACTCAAAAGATAAATTAACTATTATACTTCATGGTCCTGGAAAAAACAGTAGCCTGTGTGTGGCTGTGGCTGCTTCGGTACAAAAGTATATCAGGGAAACCAAGCGCTTTGAGTCTTAAATATGAGATACTGTAAAGAAATATGATTTGTTAAAGGTAGGAAAGCCACGGAAAAGTGATGTGTGATGTGGGGTGTTTGTTGTCAGTTCTCATGGACCAGTGTGAATGATGTACCTCGACTTAAGCACGTAAGTGCTTTTGTACTAATTCATACATGCGTCTGGATGTTCAAATACATGTGATTGATTGATTGATTGATTGTGTGTGTGTGTCTGTCTGTTTGTGTCTGTGTCTCTGTGTCTGTGTCTGTGTGTCTGTGTTCGCGCTGGGGTGGTGGCGACCTTCCTGGCGGCGCCGGCAGAGCGGGGCCTCCCCGTGCCGTTTTCTCGCTGACCAGGAAACTGGCCGCCAGCACGGACACGACGCCGCACGTGAGTGACATCACACGGAACACGACACGGGCGCGGCCGGAGACGACACGGGAAAACGCCGGCTGACTGGGGACGAGGGCTCGAGCCGGAGCGTCTAACACCCCGGGACGCCGGGACCCCCGAGGGAAACCGACTGGGACGCCGGGACCCCCGAGGGAAACCGACTGGGACGCCGGGACCCCCGAGGGAAACCGACTGGGACGCCGAGACACTCCCCGAGGGAACCCGACTGGGACACCGAGACACTCCCCGACCCGGGAGAGAGAGCTGGGACACCGGGACACTCCCCGAGGGAGAGGGAGCTGGGACGCCGAGGCACTCCCCGAGGGAGAGAGAGAGCTGGGACACCGGGACGCCAGGACACTGTCTAAGGGAGAGGGATCGGAGACGGTACCCACAGGTCGGCCCCGTAAATAGGTACAATTCGCTCTATATCGCAGCGCTCGGTCCCTTGCTTGGAAATAAATCACTTAGGGATCTCCCCAAGCTAAAAAAGTTTTAGAGTCACCCTTGCCCCTAAGTAGAATATGAAGTGACACTGAATAACCGGGTACATCACAAATTTGTAGGAACTTGAAGTGAGGCAATCGCTATTCCCAGTAACGTATCAACAAATAATTCAATTTTGTATGTTAGGCAAACGTGAGGCAACTATTGTTGCACAATATTTCCACTAATATGATGCATGCTCCTTGCCTCCAGGTTACGTCTACCTAATTGACACCAAGCTGATCCCAATAAAAACGGCCCGGTGACATGACAGTCCGGCGAACTGTTTGGCCGCCGAGCCGTGCCAGCTGGGCGGCCGGGGGACACCGGCGGCAGTTTTTCCGGCCGCACGCGACGGTCCACTCGGCTGCGGCAACGACTCTGTTCGCCGGCGCGGGCCCGCCGGTGACCGGTGACCACTGGGGAGTGCGGCTAGTGGAGCCGCACATTGCCATCAGTACGTCAGGGCTCAGAGCGGCTCCTCCCGGGTGTCTGCGGCTCTGCGGGCTCGCGCGGTACACTACGCTTTGGTCATGGCCACTGGGGGACGGCAGATGCCAGCACGACCGCCTGCCGATTGTACTGGCGGCAGAGTCCAAATCAGACTGTTCTGGCACAGAGCCCCAATCAGACTGTGCTCAGTACTGGCACAGAGTCCCAATCAGACTTTACTCAGTACTGGCACAGAGTCCCAATCAGACTGTGCTCAGTACTGGCACAGACTCCCAATCAGACTGTACTCATTACTGGCGCAGAGGCCCCAGTCGGGCACCGCGGGCGGCGCAGAGTCCCCAGTCGGGCCCCGCGGGTGGCGCAGAGTCCCCGCTCCAGCCCCGCCGTCTTACGAGCCGCCACTCCATAGATGACGTCACGCGAGTAGAGAACGGGTTTTGCGGCGGCCGGGGCGAGTGTCGAGCCGCGCTCATGTTTTCCAGGAAACTGACGGCAGGGGCATTCCTGGAGCTACCGGCAGTGGCGGCGGCTCGGACGGACGGACGGACGGACGGACGGACAGAACTCACAGACGTACGGACGGACGGACGGACAGCCGCTCGGACGGCAGTCTGACGTTCGCGCAGTCGGCGCCGCCCCTGTCCCCTAGTCCGTGTACGCACCGACAGCCGCGCGCCGCCCCTGCCGCTGGTCCTCGCGTACACCCGCAGACAGCCGCGCGCCGCCCCTGCCGCTGGTCCTCGCGACGCGTACACCCGCAGAGAGTTGATTAGCCGCCGCCGATGGTGGGTCTTATGGTGTGGCTGAAGAGGAGGCTGGCTTTGCTCACACCTTGTTCAGACCAAAGCTGGCCCACTCTCTCGGTATAGACGGGCCGCGCTTTCTCGGCCTACTGAGGGCAGTGCCGCGCCGCATGCTGTCCTCATGGTCTCGTGTCTGTCGGCACGGACCACTGACCAGTGACCAGTGAGAACTGACCACTGACCAGTGACCAGTGACCAGTGGCTGCGTCCCCGGGAGGGCTGCGCGGCGCCGCGGCGCGGTGTTCGGGCGCGGTGATTTCCGCCGGCGGGGTCCCCCCCCCTCTCTCGGTGCCGCGGGAAGCACTCGCCCGCCGAGTTCCGATGACCGGCGGCGCTGCCTCGGATGGCACGTAACGGGCTCGGGGACTCGGGAAGGCCCGCCGGCAGAGAAGCTCGCCCGCTGGAGGAATACATAGCAGACGGACTGTACCAGACGACATCCCGGTTATTGATGGGAATGCCTTGCAGCTGATTCAGTTGCGTGTGAGCCGTTGAACGGCATGGCTCAGTGCTGAGTTTCCTCGGCGAACTTTCACTGCAAACACTGAAATGATCTTCCAAATTCCCTCCGTTTTGTATCGTCAAGACATGCGGATTTTACAAAACGTTCGTTCCTAACTCTCAATAACGATTGACATCGACAGCGCAGCTTTTTACGATGGCTATCTTTGGTTCCTGTAATGCGGAAACTTTTATAGACCATGCACGATTCGCTGAGGCGTGCTGCACGAGATAACAAATGCCATAAACGTAAACTTGAGGAACAATACAGGATACATACACAATTACATATGAGCATACTCGTAGGTGCACTCTTATAGACTGAAAACTGTTCACTGATAACAGCGCTAGGCCTCTGGCCGAATTAAAGCACCTGGCGCTCGGCCGACCTCAGCCCGCCTGGCCGTGCCCCGACCCGTGATTTGGCTGCGACCCGATTGGCCGGTTCCGGCCAGCTGACCTGGTACTGACCTGACCCGGTGTGTGCCCCCAGGCGAGGTACACCGGAAACCGCGAGAGGCCCATGGAGGAGCGCAGGGCCAAGTTCCAGAGTGATCTCAAGACCAACGGCCGCACTGAGCTGGTGAGTGACCCGCCGCTCCGACCGCCAATCGTGTCAGCCGACTTTACCTGACCTCAGACGACCTCACCTGACCTGAAACGACTTGGTCTGGCCTCAAACGGCTTTACCTGACAGTGACGTTTGCTCTCCGTCGACAGGCACTGACTCAGAACGGGCTAAACCTCATCCTGGAGTTCGACATTTCACCAAACGGCTACACGGGCCGTGCGCCGGACGTGGACTTCGCCAAGGAGCCGGGAATGGTGAGTGCCGTCAGATCACTCCGTGAGCACCTCGTCTCTGGATCCCCTCCCCGCTCACAGGTTCCCCGGTCCCCGGTACCCGCTCACAGGTTCTCCGTTCCCCGGTACCCGCTCACAGGTTCTCCGTTCCCCGGTACCCGCTCACTGGTTCTCCGTTCCCCGGTACCCGCTCACAGGTTCCCCGTTCCCCGGTACCCGCTCACAGGTTCCCCGGTTCCTCGACGCCGCTGCGCGCGCGCCGTGCTCGCCCCGACGGCTCGACACTTACCTGCTCCCCGCCACCGCTAAAAATCCACCGGTTTGTCGGAACAGCAAAGTCTTCCTAGTTCCTCTTCCTGCAACGCGCCTCCCCTATTCTCGCTCAGCGGACATTGTCACGCCGGGCTCAGCCGGTGCGTCAGTACGAAGAAGGCTGTCGGCAGCCTCAAAGACGGCCAGTTTCCAAGTGCCGGCGCACTGACGGCCGAGTGATGTATGAGGCGTTAGTCACTGCGCAGCTGTATCAGGCGTCAGTCACTGCGCAGCTGTATCAGGCGTCAGTCACTGCCCGGTTGTCAGAGCCGTCAGTCACTGCCCGGCTCTATGAGGCGTCAGCCGTCAGTCACTGCCCGGCTGTATGAGGCGTCAGCCGTCAGTCACTGCCCGGCTGTGTTAGGCGTTAGTCACCGCCCGGCTGTATGAGGCGTCAGTCACTGCCCGGCTGTATCAGGCGTCAGCCACTGCCCGGCTGTATGAGGCGTCAGCCACTGCCCGGCTGTAAGAGCCGTCAGTCACTGCCCGGCTGGGTACTGTATGTATTAGGCGTCAGTCAGTCCCCACAGGTCCGCCCGCCGTCCGCTGTTCGCGGTAGCGCGGCCCTCGCCCTGCCGGCGGTTCACACCACTCTTCCGCCGCGCCCGGCGCGGATATTACATGTCATTACAGTGGCCGCTCAGCTTCACTGCACAGGCATCTGCGGAGCCAAACTGCCTCTTCGCGGCCCCAGCGAGCGGTGTCGAATTACTGGGCCGCCTTAAAGGGACTGTCCCACCTTAACATTAGAATTGAGTTGAGATAGCCATCTTGATGGGCGTTCTTTGAAAATCAGAGTCGTGAAAACCGTTTCTCCAGCAATTACTTCATCGCAAATAAATTCGTGTTTGATTTTGACATCTGTGCAAATAAGTGCCACAATGTATTGGTATTGGCACTTAAAACCTGTGACGTTTCCGCCTTTTCCGAAGTTTCTGTATCTGTCGACATGTTTTTTATTGAAACCTTGAAAAATAACAACGCCTCTTGGAACAGCGCCCGGCGCCACGAGGTGGAGAATTAAATTGATATGCCAAGCTAATTCTAATAGTCTTCTAATTCTAGCAGTATTTTTATTTTTGTATTTAAATATATAAGAGGCCGTCCTACATGTGACTGAAGAATGCAAGAGCCATGAACTTATCAATGGCAGGTGTCAAGTTCAAGTGTGCAACTCACTGAAATTAATCATAGTATCAAAATGATAAATGATTTGCTCACTGCTGTTTCAACTCCATAATCAAGACATGCTCTGAGGAGTCCACAATCTATTGATGGTGACAACTAAGGAAGAGACAATGAATGTTCACCTTTTTATTTCTGAGCATCCAAGACGACTAACCTTGAGCCGTTAAACATTGATAATACCCTGTTTGCTGAAGTGTGGGTGGCCTGAGGTCGACCATGTCTAGTAACGAACTGTTGTTTGTGTAAACACCATGCAGAGGTATTTTGAAATAAATTTTAGTGATGTAATGCATCATTCTTTGAACTGAGTTGCTGATGGCGGATGAAAGCGGAAGTGCTGCACGTTGAATCAGAAATGCTCTGTTGCGCTTTTAAGCTTATGTTAGATTTTATAGATGGCTTAGTTTTCCTGCAGATTTCATCTTAAAGCTGTTAATAGTGTTTTACCTTTGTTTCCTGGGAGCAGATCCAGCTACTAACATGAGCATGGGACCAGGACTGGGCCTTTGTACCACAGTCGCTGCGCTGCTTGTCAAAACCTAGGTAATGTGCTTTGTTAGGCCATGCTGTGCATTTTTTAAACCTTTAGAGTACTTTGTGATCATTGACACACATAGTGCACCTGACAAACAGCAGCAAAATCACACCCCATCCTTACCTCTGTGCAGTGTCACCCAACAGACAACAGGGCTTCAAAACAGGCAGGTTCCGCATTCAAGTCGCTTCTTGCAACTATGTGACTAATGTTAGGACAATAGACGTGCTGCACAGGGAAGGTGTGTTCTTTGTAGATCTTGAAAAATGAAGTCATGCCTAAAATTCAGTTTAGAATATTACAATTACAAATAACTTGGATAAAAGTTGCAAAACATGAACTCTGGCTGGTCAGTTGAAATATCTTGAGTCAGTGAACCACGCCTGGGCTGGAGGTGGTCAGTTCCCTGACTTGCGCAACCTCGGGCACCTCGGGCAGGAGCTGTGGGACTTGTACATGGACAAATTGAATAGATGCTAGCCTAGATTATGTCGTGGCTGCAGTCCAAGACGTGTTCACCAGTTGCCGTTGCTGCCGCTGCCTGCTGCTGCCCTGCGTGCTGGCTGGCAGCTCACTGCTGGACTGTTTGCGCGCCAGGCATCCTACTGGACGAGTGGGGTAGGTCGCAGATCTTTGAGAGTGAAATGTTTGGTCTAAATATAGCTTGAAACTCTTACAAATAATTTAATTAAAAGGCAAAATTTCAGAGGACTCCATTGGTGTCTCAGTGGTGACAATCAGAACTTGATCAGAACTGTTATCATGCTGATTGCTGAAACTGAAGATAGGGCTGAGCTGGTAGGCTAGAATTTAATATGCAGGCTTACAAGGTCCCCAGTTAATCCACAAATTTGTCAGACTTGCCTGTAGATAAATTCATGCAGATGAAATGTTTCTGGCAGATAGCCCTGAGGCAAAATGCTATTCAAGCTTGTTCCGCAGCTCGTTGCGTTCCACATGAGCCACTAAATCAGTCACACAACTCTGCCAAATGTGCTGAAAGGCCACGATTTTTCCAATAAGTAGGTATATTTATTATTTTTCACAGACACAACAAAAAAGAAATGCAGGTCACTACAATTCATTCTGCTTCAATTACAATTGCTGGAATGTGTTTTGCAGACTTATTATATTGAATCTTGAACAGACTATATTATATTACTTTGCTCATGGGCCCAGGCCAGTACTGCAGAGTATGGCTCGCAGGTCGCCAAGGAGCACTGGCCTAAGTTCAAAATTGACACAAACCCTGCAAACTGAGCCAGAAAATTCACACCAAAGGGGCTGAGAGAACACAAAAAATGCACCAAACCCCAAAATGGCCAGTCAAAATCTGCACTGACCTCAAATCCCCACAATGCTACACATCTGCACCACAGCAAGCCAAATTCGCACCCCGCTACACTAAATCTGCACCACACCAAACCAAATCCACACCGCACCACACTTAAATCCGCACCAGACGAAGGAGTCTGCACTGACAACATCTGGACAAAATTGCCATACTTTGCAGTCTGGCTCATGGCTATATCCATTGTGATTCTTAGGTCTGATTATTGAAGTTGAGCTCACTTCCATCATCCATGTGCCCAAGACATTGTGGGCAGCATCAATAATCAAACATCAATATCTTGCTTTTGCTTGTTAGGGAGCATTCTATAATCTTTTAAAAATGATAAATAAGGCCTTGTTGATATTCTTTGCAGTTTGCGACCTTCTTCTTGACAAAGTTCAAGCTTCAATTTTCCAATTTTCATTTCAATCCTTTCCATGAACACAGCCATGAACATTGAACATGTTACCTTGCATGTTACTAAAATACCAATTTCCTGAGTTTTGATTTCATGCGCAATGTTTGTACTATTCGCGGCAGAAGCGTAACAAAACTTTGTGCCACCGATTTGGCAGCTAGGAAAAAAACTTTACCCGATAAAAAAACAATCATATGACGTAATCGATCCAAAAGCTTTAAATTGGAATTTTTAAACAATTAGCCAACTATGGGCCGAATGTTTGCCAATTCCGTGTACAGGGGCCCCTAATCTATGTCTTGCAACACAAGAACAGTATATCATAGCAATTTTTTGAAGGTGGGACAGTCCCTTTAACAGCACGTTAGACTTGCCATGGTGCAAATCAGATGCAGGAGCGACGCGGCCTGCCGTCAGAGACGTCCACCACTGCAATCGGCTCCACCCCGATTGCTTACAAGTGCGTGCCTCACAAGTAGGATTGTTTCCCCAACTGGACCGTCTGCGCTCGAGACCCCAGTGGCGGTGACCTTTGCCAACTGGTGGCGCGGCCTCCGCTCCGTCCGCTCGGCAGTGTTTGAATACCTCCCCGACGGAGGTCCGCCGCTTCCCAGCCAATCTGCCTAATCGCCGACAACAAGTGGCGGCGCTGCGCCATCGCGGCGCTCCTGCGACACTTTCGGCGCGCGGCGCTCCCAGCTGTGACAGACTGCTGCAGGCTGGCCGCGCCGGACAGTCGCTGGCTAATCGCCACACTGGCACGTATGATTTGTACGTGTCGACGAGGGAATGGCATGTGCGGAATGACGTGCCATGCATTGGCGGGGAGCTCCGGCTTGTGGTAGCCTCTGGGGGAAGCCCAGAGAAGTAAACGGTGGCAAAGAAGCAGGGAAGCTGGGCCACCAGAGCTGGGAGCTCGGGTCGCTGCGGGTGCGGCGTCGGTGACATCACAACCATCGCCACCCGCGCCTCCAGCGAGATGGGTGCGAACTGCGCTCCCGGACCGGAGGTCGCGCACTGTCACCTCCGCCGGTCGTCCGTCGAGTGCTCATGGAGCAGTGCAGCGGGTGGTCGGGTGCTGAGGATGGAGGCAGCGGAACAGCTCCATTGAAACTGGCTCGGTTGGTGAGGTCCAGAGCGAGCCGTCCCTGTTCGGAGCGCTCCGTCGTCCCTGTATGTGCTGCACCGCCTAGAGCGACGAGTCGTCGCTCCGTCGCTCCGCGCAGGGAGCGCCG